ATCCAAATATCCCAAGTAATCCAAAATATCTGAAATTTGTATGTAAATCGTTCTAATTATTTGATATTTTATCCTAAATAACTGATAATTTATTCGAACTACCCGAACCGGAACTAAATGAGAACCAAAATTTCTAGATATTTTTTTATTCCTAATTTTACTATCCGAACCAGACCCGAAACTATCCGAACCGAACCAAACCAAAAAAAGTCAAGTAGTAAATGGATCCTCTAACCCCCTACCCGAACTACTCGAAACCAGAAATACCCGAACCGAACCGATACACGAAACGCCCAGGCCTAGAATGAGAGATCGTGTCATGAGTGGAAAATAAGTGTTAATATGAGCGTTAATGATGATGCATGAATCGAGTGAACATGCGTAACGGTGCCTGAATTCATTCCCCCATTAGAAGCACTCCAATCGATAAAACATGGATGAAGATTTTGAGAAGCTTGTGATCGTACTGAAGTGTAGCCCAACATTGAATCTTCGTTGATGGAAGGGAGAACAGCTGCTGTGAGTCAGCGGCAACGGTGTGAATTTTTTTGTCGCAAGGTTTTGGAGAAGACACCACCAGAATGGACCATGGCTAATTTACAAAATAAGCCAACTTTACAAAACCGAATTAAAATAGTTTTGGCCCTCTAACAAAATAAAATTGAAACGCAGAATGTGTGCAAGTCCAATTAAAACACTGTGTTTAGAAGACATATACACGTGTCACAACGAAATTGAACTATTTGATGACGTGTCCTAATCAGTAGGGAGAAAACTCTATTTCATATATATATATAGATAGATTTATCATAGTTTCAAAACATTTATAAAATCTTTTGAAATACATCACAAAATTTTGCAACCACCAATTATTAAGAAGTCTCGTTTTTTCCTCGAAACAATTGGATTGATTCAACCAAAATATTACACAAGATCTTAATTTAAGCCGACGAGACAAACACCTCCTGGAAAATAAGCCAACGAATTAAAGACCAATCCTTGGAGCCAAAAGCCAGAAGACAACAACCAAATCCCCATAAACTAGACAAACACCACTTGAAGATAGGGTTTTACAGACAACAATCAGGAATCTATGAACACATTACACTGATAATAGTGAAGATTGAACATGATTAGAAGGATAGAAGGAGAAAATCACCCAAGATCAAACTTTATTAAGGATGTCTAAGCCCTCACACCTTATTATGCTCCGAACCACTTCATACCACTTAGGAGACATGGATAGGAAACTTGACCCAGCCACGGACAATGCAGAGAGGAGATCGGTATTTCTGACACCTCTAACATCTGATGCGAGAAGGCCAAAGCGCCAAATCCTTCAAACTAAGCCGGATAACTTGCATGCAAACACACAAACGTCACCACATAGAATGTCCTGTCGCACAACAACCTAGGAAATAACAATCCTCCTAATCCCGAAATCAACACTTATAGATCAAACCAAGGAGTATAAAGGAAATCACTAACAAAGAGATCTGAAACAACGGCAAAGGAAACACAGAAGATCAACGATACAAGACAAGCACTAAGCCGTAAAGCCACATAACCCAAACGAAATGATTTCAGATCTAGATCACAAAATTGAAACAGAAAAGCAACAGCTAACATACCAAAATGACTACATAAGCAAGAGAAAATGAGAAGGAAAACTAAAAGACGAACACCAACCAATGCCTTGCTGAGAAAGCCACCAACGTCGTTTGGAGAAAACCAGAACACAAAGAAGAAACCCAGAAACAAGAGAGAATAAAAAGAGAAAAATTGACAGAACAAGTCTGTAAAATGATATTTTCTTATAATGTGTGTTTTAAAATACGAATCACCAATATAACATAAATAACATCCACAAATAACACACAATTAACACAATTATCACCAATATTGAATTTCCAACCTATCTCCACCGCCTTAAGATGAGAAACCCCATAAAAATTACTAGTTGGGAACTGTATTTAGCAAAAAAAAAAACAAAACATACAAATTTTACTGTTCGTGTAACAAAATAAAATGGCAGCATGTAAACAAGACGGGTCTAGTATCTTGGATTATTTTGGTCGTCTTACATCAAAGTGGGAGGAGCTGATGAATTACAAACCTCTTCCGACGTGTACTTGCGGAGCTTCAGAGAAGATCAGCCAACATTATGAAGAAGAGAAGGTTCACATGTTCCCATGGGACTCGATGATGCACGATTTGGAAACATCTACACCAATATCATTGGGATGGATCCACTGCCTGACCTGAATTCTGTGTATCATCGAGTTGTGCGAGAAGAGAGGAGGCTTTTGTCGTCACGCGTGGAGACAAAGCAGCATGTTGTGGGCTTCGTTGCCAAAACTGAGTTGTCTCAAGTAGATAATGCGAGCATGAATGGCTTGATTGCTGCTGTAACAAGGAGCCGAGGAGGAGGTGTGGTGTGTTTTCATTGTGGAAGGACGAGACATGAGAAGAAAGAGTGCTGGCAGATCATCGGGTATCCTGACTGGTGAACAGAACGAAACCAAGGAGGAGAACGTGGCAGTTGAGGCAGAAGCAAGGGTCGCGGGAGTGGCAGTCAACCACGATCAAACGCAGTGCAGGCTCAGCCTTCTCTTCCAACATTGACAGCCGAACAGTGGGCTTCATTTACAGTACTTCTGAATCACAAAAAGTCACACCCGATTCCAGATAAGCTCGGTTACCTAGCGATACGCGTGATGTGGTTGGGTGCCCAATGAAGTTCTCCGATGGTAGTCAAGTCCAGGCTACTCAACTTGACGTTTTGCGTCTTTCAGAGAAAATGATACTACCTGATGTATTATTAGTTCATGATCTTAATTGCACCTTAATGTATGTTGCTAAGCTACTGAAACAGACATGTTGTCCTGCTGTGTTTTCTGATAGATTGTGTGTCTTGTAGGACCGTTTTATGAAGACCCTGATTGGAGCCGATGAAGAACGGGATGGTGTGTATGTTTATCGAGATGTGACAGTTAGGCGAGGTCTCAGAGTTAAAGCGGCAGAAGACAAAGCTTTGCGGCATCGCAGGCTGGGACATCCTTCATTTGGTGTTTTGAGCTTTTTGCCTTTTGTTTCTGGTGTTTTAAACAAATCCGACAAGTTTGAAGGATGTGACATTTGTTTTAAATCAACACAGACTCGTGGGGGTCTTTCTGAAGAGTTTTAATAAAGCTTCAGTTCCTTTCGAGTTAATTCACGTTGATCTATGGGGCCTATCGAGAACCAGCTTCGTGTGGAGCTCTCTATTTTCTCACAATTTTTGAGGACTTCTCTCGAGCTGTGTGGATACACTTGTTGCTCGAAAAGTCAGAAATAAAAATCGTTTTGCCTAACTTTTGCAGCCTTGCACAGCGACAGTTTGGATACCCAGTCCAGACCGTCTGCAGTGACAATGGAACAAAGTTATTGTGTGTGTCAAAATACTTTACAGAGAATAGTATCGTACATCACACATCTTGCAGAGCGACTCCAGAACAGAACGGTAGAGTAGAAAGAAAGCACAAAAACATCCTCAATGTCGCAAGATCACTTATGTTCCAGGCGAATATTCCTATACAGTTCTGGGGAGAAAACGTTCTAGCTTCCAAACGCTTTCTAGCCTTCTTCATGGCAAATCATCATACGAGTGCTTGTATGGAAAGCCTCTGTCGTATGAAAGAATCAAGACGTTTGGGTGCCTTTCCTTTGCTCAAAAATCACCACGAGATAAAGCTAAATTCAAACACCGGAGTAGAAGATGCATCTTTTTCGGCTATCCTTTTGAAAAGAAAGAATGGAAACTATACGACTTGGACAATGATGATTTCTTTGTGTCGTGTGATGTGGAGTTTGTCGAGTCGTCATTTCCATATCATGAAGGCTACTCTAATACGCCTGCCGAAGTTTCATAATGCAAGCTATTGGAAGCTACGATGAACTTGAGCTAGTGCTCGAGTCCAGGGAGAGTAGTTATGATCACGTAGAAGAACAAGTCGACAAGGTGGTGGAGACATAGGTGCATGCAGAGATAGTGTCTGAATCGCCAGTTGCAAAACCTACGGCCTAAGAAACATATCATAATGCAGTCGCTTCGATAACCTACAGGATTATGTCACATACAATGCGCAGTGTCTTTCCGATAAACATGTCATAACCTACGAGATTACGTCACATACAATGCGCAGTGTCTTTCTGATAAACTCAACACACTCCCTGTTCATCCCGCTCCATCTCAGTCCTCGCAAACGAGTCCAGGTATCACTGTTTCTTCTTATACCATTTTGGCTTATATTACTGATGTGGCGTTCTCCAAAAGATAACAGTCATTTCTTACAGTAATTTCCTCATATGTGGAACCGCGTAACTGGAGAGAGGCGATGTTGGATCCCATGTGGAATGGAGCAATGTCAACTGAAGTAATTTTTTGGAAGACCAAGGAACTTGAGATGTGACAGAGTTACCGAAGGGAAAGAAGGCATTAACGTGTCAGTGGATATACAAATACAAATTCAACTACCGACATTATCAACTAATACATAGTACTTATATCAACAACCTGAATCCCAATCGTGATTCTCCTTCTAGACTGGTGTAGTAGACCGTTCTAAACCATACCACTCTTAACAATTTTACCAAAAACATATACCAAACATAAATGCGTATTGTAGTTTTTTTTTGTCACAAAATGCGTATTGTATAGAAAATAAAAAATATGATAGATTCTGAATTTCTGATCATGTTGCAACACCCATTAATACTACAGCACGTAGTTATTCCACCAGAGCTTCTTCCACTCTGTCCTTTTAATTTTGATATGCGCAAACATTTGCAAGATTTCAAAGAAAATTAGCAAACTCGATTATTAAACACCACAGTGGTCGATCCATGGTTATCAAAGACCACTTTCTCACAATAGCAAAAGAGACAAATTGGAAGTTGAAACGAACAAACTATTAAAATCAAGAAATAAGACACAAAAAACTAGTCTAAACTCCAAATCTTCACTCCCAAGTAACTGAAACAATCGAGTTAGCGAGTCCAGATTGTTCGAACGTGGCATTAGCTCCATACTCCAGAGTCTTGGAAGCACCAGGGATCGCTTGTACCAACTTAAACGCCTTCATGTCGGATTCCACCATCTGAGAATAACAGAAAGACCATAGAAGCTGAATAGGTTCACTCTTCAGAAACCTTCTCTGCTTTCTTCTCCCATCTGGAAACCGAACACATAGACTACACACAAGGCTTTTATCACACTCTCCTTTTGGCTCTTCTGTCAAGGCTGGATACTCTAAACATGTCTCCTCCTCCTCATGCGTGGGTAAAGTCTTGGGCTCAACCGATTCGACCACATCATCATAGTTGGTTGAAGAACAAGTCTCCGACTCTTCAAATTTGGACCCCGAAGAAGGAGTCTCGATGTGATCACTAGTATGGGTTTTACTTGTCAATGAAGCAACGTATTGGTGAGGAGTAGAAACCGTATAGTTCATCAAATCCTTGACAAAACTCTGAGCATCAATGACCCCGCTCCACGACCGCAGCATAAACCCAGTGATGGGATCGATGAGGAGCACCACGGGAGGAGCTGACTCAATCTTGTAAAAATTTGAGATTTTCTTTCCTTGAATGGTATCATCATAGACTTGCCATAAGATGATTCTTGACTCAATGGCTTGAGAAACGACTTTGTTTGACCATAAATCTAGGTTAAGTGAATGAGAAGCATCTTCCTTATTGGATTGGAGATTCACTAGCAACCATAGGTTCCTTTTGGTAGATGTTGATTTTGCCTCATCAAACGAACCTTGGAAAAGAAAAGGAAGGTGCAGAGAAGAGGACCTCCTCGAACCCTGGACTAGAAAGAGATTAATGGCTTCTTCAAGGTTCCAACTTGTCGTCTCTAAGAACTCGATGGCTGTTTCCATTGTTTGACCTGCAGCTATCTCCGTGAATGACGAGATCAGTTTCTGTTGGTAATCACTGATTGTTTGAGTCTCGTCGGATGTCATTGAATCTGATTCAAAAGAGTCCGAGTCAGAGATCTCTTCAGGACATACTTGGACCGGAGTATTCCCAATCGAAGGTAAAGGAAGAGGAGCTTGTTCTTCTCTTCCTTCTTCATGAGAATCATCATCCATCATCCTTGGTAAAGGTGAAAATAATTGTTTTTGATAATTACGCCAATACTGCTCTGATGAGTCCTTTGTTGATGATAAAAGAGAGATATTTATATTACAAGGAATTAGGTTAAACTCTTAAGATGCAGTGAAAAGGGAATACTATAAGATTATCATGAATCTTAGATAAATGTGGAATATATATCCTAATAAGTTCTAAATTATGTGCATATATGTTTCATCTATTTCTAATATAAAATACTGAATATATATATATATATATATAATTAGTATAATTGGTTTGGTTTGAGTATAATAAGAACAAAACCAATGAGATTATTAACAAACTTCGGTTTTATTTTTTCCTAAAACATATCTGAAGATTCTTGTTTATTCTCTCTATAAACTAATTTTGTGTTTTAACCATTCAAAATTTCCAACATGATTAGCTACGTACTACGTAGTTAATAAATGTTTTGAACGTTCATTCAGTTTCTCTCCCTTTGATCAGTCTAATTGTCTTATTTCTAGAACATGCATAGTTGAGGAGGTGAGCCCCAATCGAGATTACAAATGACACAATAATATCAATATAGCAAAAGAGACAAATTGTAAACTAAATTAGCTATAATCATGTTGATTAAAAACGTGAAGAACATATCTATTAGCCGTCAAGCAACATCGCTTAAATTAGTAAAACGTTACAACTTTTGCAGATGTCTGCATTAATCTTGTTTCACACCTTGTCAGTGTCTAGCTCTTTCTAAATCAATCAAAATTTACATATGGATCTTCACTCCCATATCTTTTTAAATAATAGTATGAATCTTCACTCCCAAGTAACGGAGATCATCGAGTTTGCGAGGCCAGATTGGTGGAAAGTTACGTTAGCTCCATACTCCAGAGTCTTGGAAGCACCAGGGATGGCTTGTACCAGCTTAAACGCCTTCTTCTCGGACTCCTCCATCTGAGAATAACAGAAAGACCATAGAAGCTGAATAGGTTCGCTCTTGAGAAACCTCCTCTGCTTTCTTCTCCCATCTGGAAACCGAATACATAGACTGCACACAAGGCTTTTATCACCGTCTCTTTTTGGCTCTTCTGTCAAGGCTGGAAACTCTAAACAAGTCTCCTCCTGCTTCACTTCTGTGGACGTTTCAAATTCGGGCCCCCAAGACGGCACCACAATGTGACTAGTAGTTTGGTTGCTTGATGAACAAGTCTTCTTCTCCTTTGTTTCGGTAAGTTTGGGACTCGAGGAAGGAGACACCATGTGACTAATATTCTGGTTGCTGTCAATATCTGTTTTTATACGTTTGTTTCTTGTTTGAGAAGCCATGCATTCGTGCGGACCATCATCCATGTACTTCATTAAATCCTCCACAAAGCCATGAGCTTCGATGACGCCGCTCCAAGAACGCATCTTCTGACCAGTTATGGGATCGATGAGAAGCACCACAGGAGGACAAGATTCGATTCTGTAGAAAGTAGATACTTTCTTTCCTTCGGTGGTATCATCATAGACTTGAGATAATATGAAGCTAGACTCAACGGCTTGAGAAACGACTTCGTTAGCCCATAAGTCTCGGTTAAGCATGTGAGAAGCAAACTCGGTCGTGGACTGGAGATTGACTAGAAGCCATAGGTTCTTTCTAGAAGAAGTTGATTTCGCCTCTTCAAACGAACCTTGGAAAAGAAGTTTCAGAGGAGCACGGTACAAAGAAGACAACCTCCTCGACTCTTCTGAGGGTTCTGGTTTCGAATCAGCAGTGTCAGAATCTGACGGTTCAGATTCCGCGTCCCAGATCTCTTCAGGACATACTTGAGCAGGAGTTTGATGCATGGAAGAGGAGTCATAGAGAGTATCCTTAATGGAAGGTAGAGGAGGAGGGATATGTTCTTCTTCTTGATAATCACTCCAATCCTGCTCTGTTGTGTTTTGTTTACATAGAGGTTGATTATGTCTGTGGATGAAAAAGAGGTTGATAGCTTCTTCAAGGTTCCAGCTCGTTGCCTTGAGGAATTGTATTGCGGTGTCTATGGTTTGACCAATAGCAATCTCCATGAATGATGAGATCAGTTTATGCTGGTCATCTCTGATTGTTTCTGTCTCCATGGTTTTCCCTGAGAGAGGACGTAAAGAGAGTTTTTCCTGAATATCAAGACAGAGAGAAATCGTCAGACAGATGAACAGATTTTCTCTTATGCTTTGGTTCTGTTTATATAGAGACAGAGATTTAAGTTCTGTTTCCTTCCTTTTATATGTTTTGGTGAAATAGGAAAATTTCTTATTCACTTTCTTTTTACACATAATTCTCTTCTTTTTTTAATGTAATTTTAATATTTTTAGATTTGATTTGAGCATATACCCTAGATTTTATTAAGATATTGAAATCCATACGTTGACAAAAAAAAATATTTGCAATCTATACCAATTTGAGATTTATCACTATTTTTACAATGAATTTCAGTTTTAATTATAACTAAAATTAGATTAAATAGTTCATCATACGTAAACGGACGGAAGAAAAGGTTTTCTTTGTTGTAAGTAAAGAAGAGAAATAGGGAAGAATTATTTTGTAATATTCTATGAATAATAAACTTTTATATAGGAGTATAATATTTTTGAGACTAAATATAATTTGAAGAATAAGTAAATCTTAGAAAACAAGTATGTCTAGAACTTTCTATAATGGCATTATCATAATATTCATTACACTTCTTTTAAGCAATGCTAGTCTTGGGATATGCTAAGTGAAATTTTCGTTATAGGCCTCCAAAATTTTTGAAAAAAATTATATGAGTATAGGTCTTCAAATTTTTTTTTTTAAATTCCCTCCAAATTTTTTTTTAACATAAAAATAGCAATAGATTCCCAAAATTTCAGGATCGACCCTCCTTTTAAGTGTCATTTCTATTTATAAACAAAATCAAACGTAAGGGAAATCAATTAACTTCTCTCACGATTGTTGTATTGTCTTCTTCAGTAATTCTTTCTCGTTCTCAGTTCTATTTCTCTAAGAAAAGTATATGGGGACTACAACAACGGATGATGGTGACAAATAGAAACTGATATCATCATTAATCCAGACGATAGTGGTCAAACCGAGGAAACGGCCATAGAGTTTTTAGAGGCGACAAATTGGAACCTTGAAGAAGTCACTTCTTTCGCATCCATATATATATTCATATTCATGACGAATTTGAGATGATTATCCGAAACACATCCTTCTAATTCCTTTAACGTTGATTAGAGATGCTCTCTCCCCCATGGTCGATGTAGCTCCTGAATAGATCAGGAACTTGAAACCAGAACCGTCCGATTCGATAATATTGTCTTCTTTGTACTGTCTTCCTAAGAAACTTCTTGTAACATTCGCCCATGACTAATGGACCACCTGATACGTCTTAAATAGAAGGATTACTCAGCTGATCTGAAAGGATATGATCTCGCCGAAAAACAGGGTCAACGAAAGAGAAATGATGGATCAAAGGATCACAAAACAATTGTGAAAATATGCTGATATTTCCAACACCAATTGTTGCTAGATATGACACACTAGACCAACAAAATGGAGGCTGTTTACTTGAATATTATGCACTAAAAAATAAAAAGTGTTCTTCACAAAGAACAAATAGATAAACTCAAAATGAAAGAAAAAATTGATTGTTTTATTCATGAGATGTGATTACATATTTATAGTAACAATGGTCTAACCAGTATTAAAAGAAACTAGATCCGTGCATATGTATGGGTGTTTATTTTAATAAAATAAACATATGGAATTCTTCATAGCACAAGAACAACAATTTAATGGTTGCAAAGATATGCATCCATATGGATGTTTGTTTTCGATATGTAGTATATAAAATTAATGATAAAGAGACAATTTTAACTGTATGTAATTTATTAGTTACTCATATTATGGTTGGAGACCAAACCAATCAAAATGATATAACATATTTGTCAATTAGTAAGATTTAACTAAATTAACAATTTTATGAATTTATTTTTATATATTAAAATATTAATTATTATGTTTATGTATATTAATAAATTTATATTTCTAAAATAAATATTTTAGGTCAAATAAAATTTACTTCTGTTTTGATTAGGATGGATACATCGTATTCGAAAATTAGCATAATAGAATAAAGAAATATGTTTTGAAGTTTTTATAAGCCTAATAAATTTTCTTCTATGTTTATTTTTGAGGAAATATTAAATTGAATTTCATTATTGTATTTTTATAATTCAAATATATATGTGTGAATAATATTAATCATCAATTTATTTAAAATATATTTGAAAGATAACTTTCGATCTTTAGTAAAATATTATAGTTTATATTTTGTATGTGAAAAGAAATAATGACAAACATGAATATATAATATTTTAAAGTTTTATGTTAAATTTAAAATAAATATGTTTAATTTTACTGTAAAATTTGATTAGAAAATATTCTGTGTAGAGAATATGGTAAGTTTAGTTAGAGATAATTTAACAAAATATATGATTTTTTTACCAAAACTCTTTTATGGAGTCTGTTTAGAGTCTGTTTTATGTTGATGACAAAAAAAAAAAAAAAAAACTCTTTTATGGATCAAATTCTACTGATTGGAGAATGAAACTTGATGATTGGCAGCAAGCAAGCAGTTTCAAAGGAACATAGATGTAGATCGACGGCATGATCCGTCATAGATACTGCACTGCTTCTTGCACCTTGGTTCTCGATGTAAAGGGACCACGAACAAGCACATGTCACGCTACATGGCACATATACAGTGATTCTAATCTTTAATTGTCGGGTTCTATTTGGGTTTCTTAGAATTTTGTAATTAAATTTTGGATCTGTTTGTAATACATGTTCTTTTTTTATCAGCCGCTCATCTAAATTAGATCAATTGGTGGTCAGACAGGTCGATTCTCCAAGGAGCATCTCCGTCTGGCCGAGTCTGATCTATATGAGAAAATGTATAGCCTTTCGTTCTTGCTTCTTTCGCTAACGCGTCCGCTCGACCATTCTTACTCCGAGGAATATGAGACAAGCTCACATCCTCGACATTCTCATGTAATCTCTGGAACACTTCAATCCATGTCTTGAAAGTCGGCCAATATTACGGGTTTGTAGTCATCTCCACTAGGTCCGAACAGTCTGTCTCAAACCGTACTGAAGTTATCCTCATGTATCTCATACATGAGACTATCCAAAGTAAATCTTCCATCTCAGCATGCAAAGTTGAGAGGCTCTTCGTGCACGCCCGTTATCCGAAGACTTCAGAACCCAATTAATCCTTAAGACCCAACGCTAAGCCACTAACACTGCCATTATCGATCCATGATGCATCAGTTTGGCAAGTAAGGATTCGGGGTATCCAAGGGGGCACTGTCTCGACTTCTGCAAAAGAAGGGTTGTCATGATCCTCGTTTGTTTCCTCCTTTTCATTAGCCTTCCTCCAACGTTATGCCCCAAGAGACGCATATTGGAGGGTGTCAATCGGTGATACCACTTTCTCATTAAAGAGTTTGTCGTTCCTCGCCTTCCAAATGTACGAACGGATCCATGGGAAGGTATCGAATTGTGGTCTCAGTGGAGCCACCTCTTTTCTCTCACAAAACAGAAAGTTCATGTTTTAGTATATAGATATACTCGGGAAGTCACTCGGAAGGGACATATAGTCCAATAAAGCCCAAACCTGCAGGGCTGGGGGGCATTCAAAAAGAAGATGATTAATTGACTCCATTGGGCCAGCAAATCTAGGACAACTTCTATCGGTGCTCATGTGTCTATAAGTGAGCCTCTCTGCCGTCTCCACACAGCCCAAGATAGCCTGCCACAAGAAATGCTTCATATTACTTAGAGCATTTATCTTCCACACGTGGCTCTGAAGGCTTGTGATACTTGGTTCTAGAACTTCTTCATGTGTGAGACTCCTCTTGATTGATTGGAGTATGTCATAATCGGTTTTAACTGAGTACACTCCTAATTTTATGTGTTCCAACCATATACATCCGGAGTATGAGAGCGAGAAGGTTTTATCCCAAGTATCAAGGTAATATCTTCTGGGTGAAAAAATTCTCGTAAAAGCTGTATATCCCACTCTTTAGTATCATTCCTGATAAAGGACTGAACACAAAGTTGGGATAGTCTTTAAACAATGTGATTGGTTGGTCTAAGTGGTCGAGCCACTGAGTCTGGCACCCAAGACTCACTCCAAACCAACGTATCTCGACTTGTACATTGTTTTCCATAAATCTGAAATGAGTAGAGGTTTTGTTGCCATGATACTACGCAATTCATATGATGGTGAGTATGTTCGTCGATCTTCCAAGGGAGAGGTGTGGCTGTAATATTTACCTTTTAGGGCATGTGCCAGTAAGGAGTTCGGGTAATAAATCAATCTCCACAACTGTTTTGCAAGAAGCGCTATATTGAAGTCATGGAGATCTCAAAAACCTAGTCCCCCAATTTCTTAGAGGTACAGATCTTGTCCCATGCTATCCAATATAAACCTCTGCTGCTCTGTTTTGAGCTCCAAAAAAATTAAAGTTGTGCTCCTTAGTTTATCGGTAATGCCTTGTGGAATCAAGTAACACGACATTGGGAATGTCGGAATTGCTTGAGCCACATATATAACTTGAACTTCTTTTTCTCCTTTGGAAAGGAGTCTTGATGACCAAGTGTTGACTCGCCTATTGAGTCGATCTTGTACATAGGAGAAAACTTTTGTCTTTGAGCCACAAATTTGTTCAGGTAATCCAAGGTACATCCTCATGCCTCCTGAGAAGAAAAATCCAAAACCTCTTTTATATCTTGCTTCAGAGAATACTCCACTTGGGTTCCAAAAAGCATCAATGATTTTGACGCATTTAGTCTTTGTCCTGATGTATTTCCGTATATGTTTAAAATTTCCATGATCTCCTTGGATTGGCTTAATTCCACCTTACAGAAGAAGAGATTATCATATGGGAAAAGAAGATGGGAGATCCTTGGGCTCGCCCGAGAAACACCAATGTCTGCTATCTTCTTATCCGCTACCGCTCCGAGATCAAAGCTTCCGTACACAGGATAAACAAAAAAGGGGAAAGGGGGTCTCCTTGTCTCAAACATCTCCTTGTTAAGATTCGCGCTCTTGGTTGCCTATTGACTAAAACTTGTAATGAGACCGACGTGACACAACACATAATGAGATCAACCATTCTTTCATCAAAGCCCATCTTAAACATCAAAGCTTCTACTAAACTCCATTCCACTCTATCGTAAGCTTTGCTCAGATCTATTTTGATAGCCATAAAATCTTCCTTGTATCTATGATTCGTCCTTACGACATGAAAATTCTCTTGTGCTATCAGTATGTTATCAGTAATCAAACGTTTTGCCACAAAGGTAGATTATGTCTCTTAAATTCAGCATGGAATAACCTTCTTAAGTCTCTTTCATAAAAGCTTAGATATAATCTTGTAGCTAACATTGCAGAGACTAATTAGTCTGAACTCGATCATGTCCCTGGGTTTCTTCTTTTTACGGATGGGACAGATATTCGTCTGGTTCAAAAGTGGGTCGAAACTGCCTGTCGTGAAGAATAATTGTACAAGTCTAATAATATCTTGACGCATCTCACGACAAAATTTCTGAAATAATTTACTAGTCATGCCATCCGGTCTAGGTGTTTTGTCTGGATTGATCTCGAAGAAAGATTTTCTGATTTCATGTTCAGACGGTTCTTTTAAGAGTAACCTATTTAAGAGTAAACTATTGTCGGTCTGGGACACCTTTTCTGAAATAAAACGGAGAGATACGTCTAGCTCTGTTGGCGAAGAAGTAGCGAAGATGTCACAAAACTATTGAACATCCATGTTCTCTACCTCGAATTCACTCTCTACCAACTTCCCATGCTTGTCCTTGTTACTGATGATTCGATTCTGGGTTCTTCGTTGTTTTGTAATGGCATGGTGAAATTTTGTGTTTCCATCTCATATCTATGCTACTGGTCCCTACTTTATTGTTTCCAAAAGTATTTTCTTTTTTAAAGGCCAATATTAATTGTCTTCGTAAATCCTCCAACTCTTCCATCGTAGAATTATCATCATCTAGTGTCAAGTCTATCTTATCTTTTAATTCTTTAATTAGTATATCAGAATTTGTTGGGTTTTGTTTTTTCTTCCAGAAACTAATTCTATTTCGACATGAGGTAACTTTTTGATGAAATTTATTCACTGGAATTTTATCAAATTGTCTCCATCCCGAGATTAGTGCTTCCTTGAATCTTAGTTTACTGATTCATCTCTTGTCAAATCTGAAATTACTTCTTGTCCTTCTAATACTGGATTAAATCCGTACTAGGACCGGTTTGTGGTTCAATCCCCATAATTGTAAGAATTCTACAAATGAGTGGGTAAATAAGGTGTGTCATTCTTCATTTACGAGGATGAATTCCCGTTGTATGAGAAGTCAATAGTTCTATAATTTTCTAACATGGTTCGGAAAAGGAGAAATGAACTCTCTAAACTACATCTTTGTCTTTTTTTTTCATAGTTTCCCGTGATTTTATTAAATTCTCCAATCATAAACTAAGCTTTATTATATGTTGTACTCATGCGTGATTATTTTTCCCAGACTTGATCTCGATATCTAACAACAAAATCACCATACAAAAATATTATAAAAAAATACATGTCATAAAAATTGCATGTCCTTTAAATCGCATTTCAATATCAATTATGGACGTATCTGCATATAAGATAACAACCAAAAAATCATCCATATACAATAGTAATAGGTCACCACTTCGTCTAGGCGGCACAATGGTATAAACTCATCATATTCATAGGAAGTTTGTAATACATGTACATTGGGCTTTGTTTAACAAAACAGAAAGTTGACGGAAAAAAACTGAGGTCAACAAAAATTTATAATCTTTCATCTGTTGGGTATTTGCCGTTTGGGATCATGTTCTAGAAATTTTCTGACTAGTGGCAAAAAAATTAAAATATCTTGTGTTTATCCAAAACCAAAATAAGAAAGAAAAAAACACCTTAAGCCAGTAACCATGGAGCTTATATCCAATTATTACTCGTATAGACACCGTCAGATCACTCTCTCCTCATCCCTAACCGTCCGATTTCAATCCTCTCCATCACACATGTCGGTAACTCTTACCGGTTTACCGTCTACCCGTCTTCTTTAAAAACGTGCCAAAGCTCAGTGGTTTCTAATAACTCGAGGAGCGTGACTCGCCCTAAGACTGAGTTTGACTCGTTGATCTGCGAAAGGTACGTAATCTCTGATTTATATAACTCATCACTATCAGTCGAAGGGTACGTAATCTGTGAACTTTTGTAGTGTTGTGATCGGAGGGGGGGGGGAGAAAATGACGACGGTAGTAGATCGGAGCGTATCGACTCTGAATCCAAACGCGCCGGTGTTCGATCCGGTGGGATTCCGTGAGGTAGAGGACTTCTCGCCCAAGTGGTGGGAGCTGGTGACGACTTCCAAGTGGTTCCGTGATTTCTGGCTTAGTGCCAACTCGGAGTATGAGTTCGACGAGTTCTCAGGTATTGAAGACGACCTCGAGGAGCTAATCATGTCCGGTGAAGCTGAGATGGGTGGATCTACAGTGAACGGTAACGAAAGTACATTGTTTGGGAGATTTATAGTACGCTTAGTTTCTCACAGTTGCTTGTATTGCAGAATCAGATGTTGGTAGGTACTTGAAGGTACTTTTGAGCATGGCGGAGTCTACGAAAGGGAAGCTTTACAGATCTAACCTGTCTTGTTCGAAAAAGTATAACCAGAAGAAGATGAACCCAAACTTCTACTGTCGCCGGAACCATCACATTTATCAGCCTCGTTGATGAGGTTTTAAAAGCGTGTGAGAAAGAATAAGAGCTTATGTTTGGATCGTTTGTCTGAGAAACTCGTCTTTTGCTTCTTGTTGTGTACTACTCGTTCTTTTTTCTCTGGCTATGTTAATATTTTTCTTTGGTTATGAGCTTCTTGATTTTTCGTAAAGACTTTGTTATATAAGTAATAAAACCAAATTCGGAACTTAAACAACATCCAATCCAAGTATAAAGTGTTTCGGTTCTTGATCAGTTGTGAGTTTGAACGTGTGTTTGTCGTTATGAAATTAGTGGATGGAAACCAATCTCCAGGCTGGCAGGCTCCAGATCAGTTGCTACGAAACTTTTCTTTTTGTCTGTTTAATTTGTGTATTTAATTTAGATTTACTTTTGGGTTCACCTCTAGTTCACAATCCAATAGATTTGTCTTATTTCATATTTGATATATTTAAAATTTATCTTATTTCATATTGGATATTTTTTTAAAAAGGAAACAAAATTTTATTAAATTATATTATAAATTTTTAAAATAAAAATACAAAATAAATAAACTAGTAGAAACAAAAATAATTAATTTAAAAAAAAATATTTTAACATTAAATCCAAACTATAGTCCTAAACCCTAAATTTATGGGTAAATCATAAACTTTTAGATAAATCTTAATAATGTTTGTAAAAATTTAATGTTTATGATTTATTTAAAGGTTTAGGATTTAGGATTAGAGTTTAAGGTTTAGTGTTTATGATTTAGCCAAGGGTTTAGGGTTCAGGATTAGATTTTAAGGTTTAGTGTTAAAATATTATTTTTTAAAGAACTTTTTTTATAAATTTATCCAAAGATTTATGATTTATCCAGGGGTTTAGGTTTTAGAATTAGAGTTTAGGATTTAGTGTTAAAAATTTTTTTTTGAAAAACATCATTTTCATTTTTATTAATTATTATTATATTTATTTATTTTTCTATTTTTATATTAAAAGTATATTATAACTTAACAAGATTTTTTTTCCTTTTTGAAAGATACCAAATGAAATAGTAAAATCCTATTAGATGGTGAACCTATAGATTTATCCTAAAGGATAAACTCAAGAATAACTCTTTAATTTAGTGTCAACGATCTATTTTTCTACTATGATGGAAACTATCATATATTATGTATGTATTATGTGATCTCTATGATTCAAAATTTATAGAGTTATTTCTTTCTGAATTCGAAATTTAATTGAGAATTCGATCAACTTTGTACGAATTACCAAAAAAAATTTGTATTCGAGTTTGGCCAGAAAACCAAAAAGAATTGGGAGAATTTCACATATAGCACTTTAGTTGTACCATTTTTCATTTTTACCATCAACAAAGGAACATTTTCAAGAATACACATTTCACTAAAGGATAAAAGATTCTTGTACCCTTCTTCTTTATATATTATATGAAATAAATATTTAAATAAATAAAAAACACAAAACATTAATACTAAACTCTAAACCCTAAAACATCAATTCTAAACCCTAAACACTAAAACATCATTTCTAAACCCTAAACCCTAAAATCAACCATAAACCCTAAAATATCAATTCTAAACCCTAAACCCTAAACTCTAAATCCTAAACTTTGAACCCTAATAAATCAACACTAAACCCTAAAATATCAATTCTAAACCCTAAACTCTAAACCCTAACCCCTAAATTCTATACCCTAAACTCTAAATTCGAAACCCTAAACCCTGAATTCTGAACCCCAAACCCTATCTTCGAAACCCTAAATCTTAAATTCTATACCCTAAACCCTAAATTATAAACCCTAAACCCTAAATCCTAAACTCGAAATCCTAAACCCTAAATTCTAAACCCTAAACTCGAAATCCTAAACCCTAAATTCTAAACCCCAAACCCTAAATTATTAACCCTAAATCCTAAATTCTTAACCTTAAACCCTAAATTCTAAACTCTAAACCCTAATCCATCAAAACCTTACTAAAATTTTTAAGTTTAATTTGTTAATGGTATAATAATATTTTACCTATTAAAATTTTAATGGTAAAGCTGGTTAGTGTAAAATTGAAAAGTGATATTTTGAAGGTGTTATTTCTCGCAATGTCCCAAAAAATTAACTTTTTTAGTTTATTAAATTACAATTTAGCATTAACTGAACATATTAACATATCTTAAATTCACAGTTAAGACAACATTAAATGTTGGCGTGCGGCACTTTTAATGTAGTTACTAACATATTTAATTTAATTTGGTACTTTTAATGTAGTTACTAACATATTTAATTTAATTTTCTACTGATTTAATATAAAAAATTCTTTAAAACTTATTTTTTTTTAAATTCCAAAAATATAAAAAGTTCAAGAAAAATAATATTAAAATTAAATTATAATTATTTTTTTTTTGTTAAAAAGGAAAAAAATCCATTTTTTTAATATTTTAATTAAGCATTTAATTTTAATTTTAACATGTGGGTATCTTTTATGTGTGTAGAATTAATTTCAATTTTTAGCAATTGTTTTTAAAACAATGAAAATCTTGAATATTTTTGATTTTTTAAAGAAAATAAAACTTCTAAAAATATTTATTTCAAGCATTTTAATTTAATTTTAATAAGTGGGTATCTTTTTTATAATTAAAATTAAATTTTTAGCAATTGAAGAAAATTTTGTGAATTTGGGAAGATGTTTGATTTTTTAAAGAGAAAAATAAAATTTCAATTTTAATTTCAAAATTAATTTTATAAAAAGTTTCTCTATATTTTGAAATTCTTTGAAATTTTAAAGATCTTTTAAGTTTTTAGAGAAGTTTTTTTTATATTCAACTAGTACCAAATAAAATTAAATGTGTTAGTAACTACATATAAAGTGTCACTAGCATAGTGGTAAAGTACCTTGCCATTTGATCCAATCAATCCGAATTCAGATCCAGGGGTCTACTTGTTTTAATTAATTTCCAAATCATGTAAAACACCTCGTTTTATCTCATTTGAAAACGACGTCATTTTACTCAACGCCAACATTTAACGTCGTCAAATTTTTCTGTTAAATTTACTGACGGCGTGCTAAATTGGCAAGTCAACGAAAACATTGTTAATTAATTCTAAAATCATTGAAAGTTTTATGTTTTTTTTTGTTATCCCAAAAGTTCATGTTTGTTTTGGCAATTCGTGCAAAGTTGATGTTTTTTTGTGGCCGAATTCTACAGTTTAATTATTTACATACTATAATTTTTATTGGTTTATTGTTATCCATATAATATAATCCAAATAAATAAGTCAATAATTCATTTTTCATCAAAAATAAAATAAAAATGCTAATACACTATTTAAATTCCAAACTATCACTATTATCAAAGAAACTTTGAAGACTATGAAAACTTATTATTTTAATAAAATTGAATTTTTGTTTGGTTTTAAAGTTGTTTGGTTAACAATAAACTGGTTAATTTTTTTTTTATGTATAACTAAGTTCTAAACTATTAGTTTGAGGAGAAATAGATTTCGAATTATCGATTCGGCTGAAATAAGTTTATAATTTATAATTCGAAGAGATATGATAAAAGGTGATAGTTTGATAAATATCTGATGCTATATGATAATTTTTTGCGGGGAATCGCACATGTATCCTTTAATTTAATAGAAGAAACAAAAGAGTCTTCTTTACATGTCAAACGAATCTTTTTGCCCAGGATGCATAGCCGAGTGAGGAATGGGTGAGTACAGCTTCCCAAAACCTAAGGTCCGATTTGAATATTCGATCCGAAAAAATTGAAAATATACAAGTACTTAGATAAATCTATCTCAAAGAACCAAAACTGAAAATTAGTGCTGGGAATTTTAATCATAGTCCGAGGATTTCGTCCTGTTCAATCCGGTGCAGAACAGATGTGGATCGGTCAATTTGAAAAAAGTAAGTCATGGATGCCGGTGTGAGTCAAATATATTTTATGTGGGATGGGTATAGATAGATTTAATTTAAATTATTAGTATCCATTAACTCACAAAAATATAACTTTTCTAAGTTTATTTTTTGAAAAATATACTAAAATTGGTTATAAATAATTAAAAATTAGGTGTTGCTGACATAATAATTTTAAAATAATACATTAACAGTTCAAGTACAATTAAAATAAATTATTATTATTATTTTTTGCCAGTAACATAAACATATTCATATAGACTCTGTCAACCAAATTGGTAGCTCCGAATCCATGTGAACAACAAATGACGGTTGTTTTCTTGCACTATGTGCTAGATTATCCGCCTTTAGGTTTGTGCGTCCATGGTATATGGATGAGCTCAGAACTGTGGAAACTTCTATTCAAAAGCTTAATATCTTCTAGGTAACTCGCAAGGCTGGCCATTCTTTTGGTTTCGAAACATTTTCACCAACTGAAAGTAATCTGTTGCAAAAGTAATCATAAATTATCGTAGATTCCGCATACATTCCATTGCTTAAATGAGAGCCTCTATCTCCGAGTGTAGTGGTGACTGGCTCGCTCTTATGTTCCTCGCCCCCATTAAACCCTTAAAGCCTTCCAGTGTACTATACCACCCTTATCCCGAAAAGAGTTCTTTATTTTCCCAAGATCCGTCCCTAAAGCACCATCTTCCAGTGTACTATACCATCCGTCCCAAAAATAAATTATTATTTATACATTCATAATATTTAATAAAATTAAAAAATAATTTTTTTTATATATACAAGTTTTTATCATAACATAAAAATACTTTTTTATCATTTAACATAAACTTAGAAACAATAATATTGTTGAAATATTTATTAATAAATTAAATATTAAACTATTTTCATATGAATTTATTTTCCATATAATAGAATTATCTTTGCACCATCTTCCAGTATACTATACCATCCGTCCCAAAAATAAATTATTATTTATACATTCATAATATTTAATAAAAAAATTTAAAAAAAATTTTATATATATATATACAAGTTTTTATCGTAACATAAATAATATTTTATCATCTAACATAAACTTAGAAACAATAATATTGTTGAAATATTTAATAATAAAATATTAAAATATGTTCATATGATTTTTTCCATATAATAAAATTAATTTTTATTGCGTAAAATAAATCTGAAAAATTATTATATACAACATATATATAGGGAGTTAGCTTTTATAATTTAAAAGTGTTTCTAAAAAAGGTAAAATATTTTTGAATAGGACACCATAAACTATTTATATACAATGATAGTTATCAAATCTATGAAATTTGCTTTTAATTTTGATTAATTTATATATTAACAAATATAATTATTCATTAATGTTGATAAATACTTTATAACCTAATATAAATTATTTTTAGATAGTGATAATTTTGAAATTAAAG